AACCCAAGCTGTTCTTCTTAAACTTTACGTTACGAATTAAAGAAATATTGAACAGTGGATTGAATTACAACGTTTCTCTATGCAGAAAGCATTTCAGGCAATACTTTTGTTCAGAGAGGACAAAACATTGCTAAGGTACAATGCAGTTGATCTTGATCTTTGATCGATCGTTGCCGCAGTTACCAAGAATCTGAATTTCTTATGCGACTTGTCGCTCCAAGCTTCCATATTATTTTTTGTTTAAATTCGTCATACCATCTCAGGTCTTCCACTTAGTCAAGTGAAACCCCTGGGGTCTCAATTCATTGCCGTTAAAATCCATTTGTCACGCGAAATCCGTCATCGAAGATTCATCGAGCTGTTTGCACGTCCAACTTAATTTCCTTATTAAAATCGTGAAAAGTGGGTAACCTCTGAATTAGGGATCACAGAACAACGTTTAGTTCGATAGAGTGGACTTTGCTTGGTCTGAAGATCGAGGTAGTGGAAAAGAAGAGGAGGAAAATCCCGTTGTGCCTCCAAACAAAGTTCCGTTAAGGAGCACTTCCACTACAAAGGAAGTGACAGAAGGACAGAACCTAACTCTTGATTAATGAATCGGTTGAAAGCTGTAAAACATACCATCCCTTTGGTTGAAGAAGATCAAACTCAACATGAAAGATTCAGATGACATGGAATAACGAATCTGAGGAAATAAAAAGAAGCGAATGCCATTCACTGAGGAGGGCGTTATAATTGCATAGCCAGGAAATAAAAAATTTAGAGAAAACGCGGCATACAATTCCACTGCATGTAGCCAACCCCCTGAAGGAAGCATTCATTGCAACCCGATGCTCGTGGAGATCGCTCACCAAAAACATGCAAGAATGAAAACTACGCATATTGGCCATGTCGAGAAAAAACGTGCCGTAAACGAATGTACTTCTGAACAGTACCAAACGGAAGGCCAAGCCGACGCCTGACGGAGGTTATCAAGTAACGAACAGAACTGGGCAGCTTTCACGCCCTGGGAATATCTAAAGTTCCCCCATCTAGGAGACGAACGAATGCGAAAATTGTGCGGCAAGGGGTCGTTGCACTAAGAAAACATAATAGGATTATTTTGTAGAGTAACGACGCTATGTTCCAGCGTACCAAAATTCCTTTAACTCTTCATACGAATAATCGAAATCTGCTCATTGTTCACTATATGAATATAAACACCTGATTTAGGAACATCGAAACCTTTATTGATGAAGATTTAATAGATTTTACATTTGTCTGTTGCTTCGTTTTCAGTCTTTTCTTTTCCTTCTACTTCTTCCGCTCGCCACTCCTTCGAGCTTTCAACGGCATTCACCAAGTTGTCCTCCTTACTTTTTTTCTGTAGTCATTCCCTTTTCTTTTCGTCTTGTTCTTGCTTTTCCATTTGTCGTTAATGTTTCTTACCCTTCTTCCTCATCAACTTCTTCTGCTTTTCCTCCTTTATATTCATGAACACAGTTTATCCAACGTACAAAACAGTTTTCTATATATTCACCGATTTTTAGGCACCATCCAGAGCTTCATGTCATTTCTGAAGTGCTGGCCATTCAGTCCGTTTCGATGATCACTCACTCTTTCCGGTCTCGGAGACAAACACACAAGGCAGGTCTCTAACCTTCCTGCTCCTGTGCCAGCGTTTGAGCTTTGGCAGAAGACAGACCGAATTTGGAACAGTGCCTGTCAAAACGTGTAACAAGGGTCATTTTTGGCCGTCCCATAGGTCTTCGATAAATCGGTATCGCAAGTAGGCGGTGTTTCACTTTTCTTTAAATTCTTAAATCTGCAGCTGCTGTACACCAAAGCATCTACAGATATCTGTACTCCGGACCACGTCGAGATGACTGAACCCAGCGATTCGTCTCAGAAAATCATTCATCCGCTTCTTCTTGGAATGGAGCTTTTCAGTCATTGGCTTCCATTGACAATAAGTGAACATTTGGCTATTGAAAATTGACATACACATAGACAGCTTAGTCCTCAAAATCACTCTGTCATAATCAGAACGGTTTGGGCTAGTTGGAGCAGAATGGCACTGGCCACTCGAATTCGACCTTCGATCTCTTCGTCTCGTTTTTCATCACCAGTAGGTAGACCCTGACGTAAGTGAAGCTTCCATTCCGTTGTTTCTCTGTTTATCTGCAGAGCGCAATGGGTAGTAGGAGGAGAAAAATTAGACTTTTGATCATCGGCATGTTCACTCGCATGCAGGTCATGTCGCACTCATCCGAAAGAAGATGCAAGCGAAATAACTTCATGGATAAACAGCGACCTTCTCGGCCTCTATCCTGTTTTACTCTTCACCCTGGCTGCGCCTCACATGTATAGCACAAACAGGAGGGAAGTAGAAGACAGTTTTGTGGAGGCCCGTGCCATTAGTGA